TAAGAAAATGACGCCCAACTGGCATGGTTGAGCGTCGACCTATGAACCTGGAGGTCATGGTTCAATCCCCGGTCAGGGTACATGCCTGGCTTGCGGGCTCCATCCCCAGGAGGGGGGCGTGCAGGAGGCAGCCGATCAGTGATTCTCTGTCCTCATTGAGCACACGGGCTTTGCAGTTAAGGTTAGTTGTCCGGGAAGTCTGGTTACCAGGCAGCAGTGAGACGCGGCAGTGAGATCGCTGAGATCAGACAGTGAGGACGGGGCGGGCAGAGGCGGAGAGGAGGCGGCGCCGGGCCTGCACAGCTGGAGGCAGGCCTTCTCCGTCCCTCCCGCTGACCCCTGGTCTTGCCGAGGCCCCAGGTGACCGGGGACCTTCTTTCAGGTGTCGGGTGCCGTGCCCTTTCCTGGGCCTCCCCAGCAGCCTCAGTCCCCTGGTGTTCCTGCGCGTACACTCAGCCGTCGGCGTTACGAACAACCGAAACGTATCCACATGACGTGTTTTTAATTAAAATATGGGTCACACAGTCTGCGCCATCTAATTTCTCTGTGCGTGGATGGAGGTTGCCAATTCATTTCCATGTTGGCTCAGGACAAACCGGAGGTAGGAAACGTTGGCACGGAAGCTCGGCGGAAATTATTTTAGCGCCGGGGACGTCGTGTTTTCTGTGGACGTGGCCGTTAATATCTCCCTGTGCCCTAGCTCCGTGGTCGGCAGACTGCGGCTCTCGAGCCACATGCGGCTCCTTGGCCCCTTGAGTGTGGCTCTTCCACAAAATACCACGGCCTGGGCGAGTCTGTTTGGAAGAAGTGGCATTAGAAGAAGTTTAAGGTTAAAAAATGTGGCTCTCCAAAGAAATTTCAGTCGTCCTGCTGGTATTTGGCTCTGTGGACTAATGGGTTTTCCGACCACTGGCCTAGCTCTTCCCCGAGGAGTGTGAAGGGTCCACGTGTGGTTTGGGGGTGTCTGCCCCAGACCTGGGTGCTGCTGGTCCGAAGCTGGGCCCCGTGAATGGATGGATGAATGAGTGCGCATCCGCGGGAACGCTGCGATCCGCTTGTAGATCACGTGAGCCGATGGCCCGGCAGGTACCCTGGTGGGGGACGGGGCTGGCACAGGGCCTCCTCCTCCACGCCTGCTTTTCATCAGACATGGAGCTGGGTCCCCACCCCACTGGCACCAGGTCCAGTCAGCTGCCGGTGGCTGCAAGCTTCCAAGAAAAGCCTTTGGCCTCGGAGCTGGACACCGAGCTGGCCACCTGGTCCCCGGCCCCAGCAGATGCCCGCGTGTCTGGCTGCTCAGCAGGGGCCCCGAGAGAATGCGCTGCACGTGGCTCTCGGCATAGCTCGTCCCCGCAGCTCCGAAACGCTTCCCGCCGCCGGCCACTGCCCCGCGGCCTTCCTGGCTCCGGCTGCGCGTGGCGGCAGATGGCGGGGCCACGGGTGGTGGGGAGGGAGGCGACGTCTGGGGAAGGTGGCTGCCGCTTCTCGGGCCTGGGTGTCCCAGGGCGAGCTGTCACCTCCCTGCACTTCGGGGCCACCGATGGGAAAGTCGGATCCAAGGAGGGTGTGTGGGCATTGACTCTGCCTGGCCTCCTGGGGCGTCTTGGGATTGAAACCTGCCCGGCAGGTGTCGGACCCACATGGGAACTGCGCCCAGGTTTCTCTGGCTCTCGAGCCAGCGCCTTTCCGTGGCCCCTCCGCTGACCTGACCCCGCTTTTCCTCCCACAGACACATAGAGAACTGGCGCGGCCTGCACACCCTCAACGCCGTGGACATGGAGCTGTACACGGGCCTGCAAAAGCTGTGAGTGCGCGCCCGCCCCGGGGCCTCTGGGGAGGGGGTAGGAGGGGACTGCCCGTCTGCCTCTGGGCCTGGGGAGGGCACTGTCTGCACTTCCAGGGGTTCCTCTGTTAGTGGAGGTGGCACCGCCCACTCAGGGAATTGGGGGGCTTGAAAGGCCAGCCCCTCCTGCTCCTGCATTGCACGGGCCTCAGAGGCAAGGGGCCTGCAGGACATCTCCCCGTGGCTCAGGGGTCGAGGCAGGACCCTCTGCGAGGCTAACGGGCCCCATGGAGCATGAAGTTCCCGGCCTCCTCCTCAGGACTGCAGTGCTGGTGGTTGAGGAGAGAGGTTTGGGGCGGGGGTGGGGGGGAGGAGGCCCCAAGGGGGAGCCCCGCTCTCATGCACCTGCCAGTCCAGGAAGAGGACAGCTGCCAGCCCCGCCCAACCACATCCCGAACCATCCCCCGGTCCCATGGGGTGTGAGCCCGGATGTCCCTCACTTGGCACCCCCAGTGGGTATCATCGGTGCCCCGTGGTGCCCAGTGGTACCCGTGATGAAGTGAGTTCACGCCAGCAGGGCGGCTGCAGGTCCGGGCAGTGGATGTCCCTCTGTCCCTGAGCCCTGTGACCTCTCTCTCCCTCCAGGACCATCAAGAACTCAGGACTTCGGAGCATCCAGCCCAGAGCCTTTGCCAAGAACCCCCACCTGCGCTACATGTGAGTCGAGCGGGTGCTGGCCCTGGGTGGGGCTCGCCTGAGGTGCATGCTTTGCAGCCGGAGGCATGGCCACGGCCCGCAGGGGGCCTGGGGCCAGCTGTCCCGGGTGTTTATTTTGTAGAGGATCTGAGGTTCAGTGCAAAGCATCCCAGGGGAAGTGTTTCTGGCCTCTGACAAGCCTCCCTTTTCATACTGAGCCAGTGCCTGCAGCGTGCCCGGTGGGGACAGTGCAGGGGCAGGTGGGGACCACGTGTCCCTTCTAACGGAGCCACGAAGCTCCCAGCTGATGGCTGCGCTGGGAGGCGGGACTTCCTGCTGCGTGTGGAGGCGGGGCTTCCTGCTGCCAGATGTGCTGGTTTTTATTTTATTTCCCCAAGAAGAGCTGGAGGTCTAGTAAAGCCTCTCAGTTGAAGCCCTGCCTGGCAACTAAAAGTAAAACCCCTCAGCCCCACGGGCCACACGAGCCTGCTGTGGGCAGATGCCACGTGGATGCCGGGGTCATGCTGCAGGAGGGTAGCCCTCAGCATGGGGGTGGTGGTGAGGGGGAGCTCTGACCCCCTGGGGCAGTGGCGTTCTAACCTTGTGTCGCCTGCAGCTCTCAGGGGAATCGGGAGGGCTCTGGGGCTGACACGTCTCCAGGGGCCACAGAAGAGGGAGCCGGGCTGCATCCGGGTAACGGGAGCCTCTGAAGTCGGTTGCACCGGGACGCCTTTGACTTACCCTGAGGTCTCAGGCAGTCACCCACCGTCTCTTTGGGGGATGATCTGCCCTCTGCTGGGTGGCGAGTGACAGGCTGATGAGCTTTACGAGGGTCCCCAGGCTCTGGGGTCAGGGCGTCTGCTGGGACTCAGTACTGATGGACCTGGGAAGTCTGCCCAACCCTGGACCACGTCTACCAACACTGTTGGCCTTGGGTGGTCGGCCGAGTCCTCCAGCCCCGCTCTGCAGCTGGCTCAGCCCTCCCTGGTCGGGGCGAGTTCCCTCTGGCCTGGCTCACACGCTGGCCGGGTCTCCAGTCTGGGGTTGCCTGAGTAATGTCGCTGAACTGCACTCACAGGAGGGCATTTTCTTTCACGGAGCACTTCATGGTTCCCCCAGTGCTTTCTCCTACGTGATCTCATTTAATGCCGGGAGATCCTGGGTGGAGGACTGTGGCGCAGCCTCATTTACAGCCCCCGAGCCCTGATTTGTAAAGAGCAGAAGTAGGTTGCCAATAAATCCTCTGATTCTCTTCCCAGGGGTCTTTCTGTTCTTCCTTCTGGGCCAACAGGGGAAGCATTTTCCAAAAAGTTCCTAAGATATTTAGAAAATTGTGTTACAAAAGGCTGGCATCAGAAGATAGGAGGGGAAGGCTCACGTTGGTTAGGGATTCCCTGGGCGCCCAGGACTGTGCTGGTGCTTTTGCAAAGTCAGCCTCACTCCTCACAGGAACGGGGGGCCGGGTTCTGCTATGCCCATTTCACAGATGAGAACGTCGGGGTTTGCAAGTCACCCCTGACTTCCCTCAAGGATGAGTAGCTGTTAGCGGAACAGTCAGGACTTGGCCTCTAGGCATGTTTTGTCTCTCTCTAGTTTTCACAGTCACTCTTGTGAGTGGAGAGAGTAAGAGCCAGAGAGAGCAAGAGCGAGAGCGATTTCCCAGGGGACTTAGCGCCAGCCATCCTCAGACAGCTCTGTTGAGATAGCAGGTCTCCTTTCTTCCCCTATTCAGGTCAAACGCTGTAACCACAGTCGCATTGCAGCCTGGATATCTTTATTAAAGAAGGTTTCTGAGCGTTAGCCTCTGGCCCACTTATTTCCAAGAATATGTACCGTAAGAGTCCGGCAGCCAAAATAATTCTCTCCTCCCTCGGAGTTGTGGTGCCGGGCCTCTCTCGTGTTCAGGTTCTTGTTTCCCCCGAAGATGCTCTGGGTGCCTTTTAAGCCATTTCTCTCTGTCTTGGGCAAACGTGACCTTGATCTTCAGCTGTGGGCTTGTGATGGGTGAGGAGGGGAGGGTGTCCTGATTTTGGCACCATTAAGTCAGCGACACTGGGGCGGAAGGGGTTGGAGGGGCTGGAGTCCCAGCCCTCTGGGGACATGAAGGCGACAGATTCCCCTCAGTTCCCCGGATGGAGACACAGTGAGACTGATTGGTTACGGGTTATACATCATTTAGCTCTTTCTCCTTGAAACACCCCATCCTGGGCCCCAGGACAGTGGGTAGTGGTGACACCAGTAGGCGTTTGTGTCCCCCTGCCCCTTGCCTCTGCGCAGAGACCTCCCTCCGAGTCCCAGTGGGATTGTCCCCCGGCACACTGGTCCCCTCACGGCGTCCCCATGTGCCCTCGTCTGCTCTGCGTGGAGGACACAGCCATCGAACTCTGAGCAGCTCACAGGCAGGAGCGTGGGCTCTGAGCTGGAAAGGCCAGGGTTCAAATTCTGCATCTTCCCCGTCCTTCTGCGCGACCTTGGGAAGCTGGTGAAGGTCATGAGTTTGAGGGGATTGCTCTACCCTCAACTGGGATGGCCATTAGGAAGTGCTTAGGACAACGATGACTTCCTGCCCGCTCATTGGCCTCTGATTTCATAGGGAGCGGAAGCTGGAGGGGAGCTCAGAGTCAGCCCCCCCAGGGCACATCCCATCCCTGCCCCCACGCTGCCCTGTGGACTCCTGGTGAACGTCCCTCCTGACACAATGTCAGGCTCAACCTGGCCCAAACACGTCTTGATTCAAGGTCACGTCCTCACTCCCACCTGTGTTCCCTCCGGGTTTCTTGTTAACCCTTCACCCGCACCCCTCCCTCCGTTTAATTCACCCGTCCCTGCGAGATGTGCCCCCATCACGCCCCTCGCCCGCATGCTGCGGTCTTGGTTTGCGTCAGCGTCCTCTCTGCTGGCTCCATGGTGACGGCTTCCCGGGGGCTCCCTTCCCTCCACTTTTGTCCCTTACATTCATCCTGGCACCGTTTCCAGAGTGACATTTTAAATACACAAAGTCAGTCGTGCTACCTCGCCGCACATGGCCCTCTAATTGCTTCCTGCTTTCCTTAGGATGGAAGCTACGTCCCCTCCTTCCTGCCCTCCACCCCGGCTCCCTGCTGGGCCTGGGTCCTCTCTCAGCCCCTCAGCCCCTCAGAGCCCCGTGCTCGCAGGTGGTTGGCGCTTCCTCATCCTTCACTCTGATGCCACCTTCTGAGCAAGACCCTCTGCCCCTCCACCCAATCTTCTTGGCCCTCTCCTCCTATTCCTGTCACTCTTCATCCCCTCTTGTGGCCTCCTCGTCCCCCCAGCTCATATTTCTGGGGACTGGCTGCCAGCATCTCAAAGTTACTTCATTGTGCTCTGTCTACCCCTCCCCCCCTTCCCCAGAGGAGGTAAACTCCCATAAGCGGGCCATTGTGATGGTCCCCGCTCGCTCCAGCGCTCAGGAGCACGCCAGCGATGGGCGGAGTATAGGGGAGACTCTAGTCTAACGGGGTCACTCTGTGGGAGGCAGGATGGGTGTCCGGGGTGGAGAGTGCCCCGACCAAAATCTCACAGGTAAGCCCGGGGCCGAGATCTCACACTCAGCTCTTGGCACTGTTTTTTATTTTTATTTTAAATCATCATCTAAGGATATGTTTTATTGATTGTTTATAGAGAGAAAAAGGGGGAAGAAAGGGAAACATCAATGTAAGAAAGAGAAACTGACCAGCCTCCCGTATACACACACCCTGCCCGGGACTCGAACCCGTTACCTTTGATGTGCAGGACGATGCTCCAGCCGACGGAGCAGCCCAGCCAGGACGGTGCTGTCTTTGGACACTCCTTCCACCGCGTTGCCCTGGTGACTTCCTGGGCTCTTCCTAGCCCAGCTCCTCAGACTTCTGGGGGGGGGGCAGGAAGGCGCAGTCCTGTTTGAAGGAAGGACATACGGGCAGGTGTCCTGTGCCCGGCGTTGACACACAGCGCTGATCCTACAGCTGGACAGGTGGGACCGGCACACGGCAGCATCACTGCTGAAATGTCACATGAACATGTGCCACGGAGGCAGCTGGTCTCCTGGAGCCTTCCGCTCGCCTCGCTCCACCTGCCCACCCGCCGTCAGACCCGGTGCCCGCTCCGCGGCCTCTGACGGCTCCCGTCAACCCCTGCGCAGGCTTTGCATCTTGAAACCACACTGCCCGAGTTTACATTCTGGCTCCACCACCTCCCTGTACATCCTGGCCGAGTTACTTAACGTATCTGCGTATCTGAGCCTTAATGTCCTCCTTTGGAAAGTGGGATAATACGGTCGTCAGCCAGATGAAGATGCTAATGCCTGGGAAGTATTGAGAGAGGAAGGGAGGGGGGTGGAGGGAGAGAGAGAGAGAGAGAGAGAGAGAGAGAGAGAGAGATCCATGGTGAGAGAGAATCATGGATCGGCTGCCGCCTGCATGGTCCCTACTGGGAATGGAGCTTGAAACCCGGGCATGTGCTCTGATGGGGAATTGAACCCTGACCACCAGGTTCATGGGTCAACCCTCAAGCAGTGAGCCACACCGGCCGGGCCTGGACTGAACCGGAAAGCTTGGTTATGATCTTGTCAGCATTGCCTTTCCAGAGACTGGGTCTGAAGCTGAGTAAGCACTGAGCACTGTAGCCTCCGGCTGTGTATCTCCTGGCCTTGGAGGTTAGACCGCGTGCCCGTGTTTTCCAGCTTTGTTCATTCTCAGTCGATTTTCTTTTCTCCCCCCGCCTCGAGGCTTCATTACTCCCCATCTGTCCACATCCCTCCCCTCCATTGTTCTTGCTAGGGACAGCTTAGAAAATGAGATTAGTCCCTGGCTATTTTGGGTCATCATTAATTTCTGTCCCTCTCCATTCCTTAGCAGGCTGGCAGCCTCCCGTCTCCCCCTTGTTCCTTCTTGATGGATTGTCCCACGTCTCTCTCCTTCCCCAATTAACCCTGTGCCTCTTGGGGCTGCTGGCCTTGGTCCTGAGGGGCTTTAGGGACCACCCGTCGCCATGTTCTGGGTTGGAGAGCTGAGGCGGTTACG